GTCTACATACCTTATTAGCATGAACCCATTGATCCATCTGAATAGAAGTTGCTTCAGTTGGTTTAGGATCAGTAAGTGCAAAAGCAACTCCATGCATATCCAAAATAGAATGCACCCGTTCCTGCCAATGCTTAAAATTATCTCCACCAAAAACCTTAATTTTTGAAACATCAGGAAAAGGTTTGGCATAGGTAATTGGTGATGGAACAGAAACAGAAACAGTTGGTGCAACAGGTGTAGTAGCATCAACAACAATATTAATAGCGTTATTCTCCATAATAACTATGTGAAAATATCCTTAAGATTGTTGTAAAAAATTGGATGGTTATGGAGAATAAAAGGTTTAGCTTGAGGCGTGTCAAAGACACTGTCCTTAAAGATATTTCGCCCACACCGAGATGAATAATATTAGGCGTATCCCCCAGGATTCAACAAGCTCTTCTAATATAACTAGGAATAGAAACAACAAAGATTTATGAGAAGAAAACCCAACAACAACAACAACAACAACGACGACCCAGTATAATCCCACAAGTGGGGTATGGGGAGGATAATATGTACGCAGACTCTACCCCTACCCCGAAGGGTAGAAAGACTGTTTTCAGGAGACCCTCGGCTCAAAAAAAGAAGAAGACTATGAGAAGAAAACCCAATATAAAAAAAAGAAGAAGAAAAGTTTTTTCTATTTTCACACTTTTTCAAAATGACTACACAAAGGACTTATATAGTCCAAAAACCGAAACACCCATCTGATAAAATTCTAAGCCATAAAGGCTCATCAAAATTTTAACGTTCAAACCATGAGCAAGACATTAGTGCTTTTCTGTTACAAAACTAAAAGGAATCATGAAAGACATTTACTTCAATATGGAGTCAAATATCAACTGATATTAACGTAATGAAACGGTCAAATGATTTCTGAATTAATGTTAGCAAACGATCACCATATTTGATCAAATTCAAAGATAAAGAAAAATAACTGATTTTGATAGCCATTTAATGTTAATAAAATATTATATTCAAAGTTATTCTAATTTATTTTTACACACATTAAAATATATTCAAATTGATTGATCATATAAAGACCCATTAAAGAATGAATCTAGACATCAATTTAAATATTCTTTTTGAGATGTTAAAATTAATATTATTTTTTAACATTAAGTCCTTGTCCTTTTATGTGTTTAATTTAGAACACATACTCTTATATGTGTGCAAATACATATATATTATACATATTAATATCAAAGACTTGAACTTTTGTGAAGGAACACATTTTTTTTTGAAAAGGTCCGATGGTTGCTTTATAAATAGAAGTTCGTCCAACAAAGTAGATATAGAAAAATCTGCAAGTATATTCTTGGCTTGTTGTATCCTCAAGAAGATTGTTTGTATTTCCCAAATTTGTATACGGGCAGTATCTTCTTTAAGGACAGTCGTTCTCATGCCTCACGCCTTCTTCAATTTCGTTTTTGATTATTATTTTTCTAACAAGATCCACAGGAAATGAAGTACTTTTCGTCTCTCACCGCCCATAAGGTAAAAGCTGGAAATTGATGACAAACTATCCACTTATATTTGAAGCTTAGTCAGCGATTAGACATGATTTTCCACTATTTGCTTGATTAAGGTACATTTATCTACAATTATCTTTTTTCTCTTTATCTGCACTATCTTAACACGATTTTACCATTTAAATCAAATCTACAACTGCAAATCCACATCTTTTTCCATTTCTAGTCTTTTCATGCTAAAGACAATATTTGTGCCGTGTATTTTTTATTTGGAAGGTGATTATATTGGGGGAAATCGAGTTAATATTTGGAATTAATTATATGACTCACATGTCAAGATACGTGGATTAATAAGAGAGTGACAACTGGCAAAGAGTATGCAAAAAGACGCGGGTCTTAATAGGTACGGGTAAAGGTTCAAGAAAACAAGAAGGAACGATTACTCGGATCTCTTGATAATTTGAAGAGACATCGATGGAATGAACCGGACAACAAAAAGTACAAATACGTAATATATGCAATTAATGAGTATAAATGATGGGGAACATTATAGAATCTTCACGAAACAGTTACTATTATCAATTATAACGTTTCATTAATGACATTAATTGCTCATAATGACTCTATTATGAGAGGAAAGAAATGTAGTACTTAGAAATAGCTATAAAAGGAGAGAAATAACATTTGTATGGGACACACTGATTATTATTGGAATATAATTATTTACATTGCTTAAAATCGCTTACTCGGCTACTTCTCAGTCCAATTTTTCTTCTCTTGTTACATAATTATTTCTTTATCTGATTATCAGTAACCCGAGTTCTTCTAAAATTACGCTTTGACTGAAATTCCTATTTTCGGGTTAAAAAATTTGTTCAGTTACCGGGAATCTGATAATCTTTTACTTTCTAAATCAACTCTTTTGTCAAAACAATCATGTCGAATGTCAACGACATTAACCAACAAAATTTACAGTACCAAGAAAATCAGCAACATCAGGAGAATCAACAAGGTGATGGAACTCCAGTCCCCTCACAACGAAACTCTCCTCGACAATCTCGAGAAGGGACTTCTGACGGATCTGAATCAAATATGAATGAGCAGTTTGAGAATGATCAAGCTATTGATGAAGCTTTGAAAAAATTAATCGCTCAACAAGTCAGCAATGCTTTTCAGGCTTTTGCTAACCAGTTGCCGGCTGTATCACCAACACCAACTCCAAACAACAACACCTTAGAAAATCCTCGCTCAGGACTCGTTAACTCAGGAAGTGGAGGAACTCCCAGCGAGTCTCGTGATGGAGGGTCAGGTAACCTAGTTAATTCTGATTTACAAAGTTTAGTATTAACTTTGCAGAAATAGCTTAAGGAGCAGAGCGATCATATAGAACAGATACCTGGAGTGCCACCCGTAATCAAGGGGATAGATATGGACAAATACTCTCAACAACCTTGGAAGCCAAGTGCCACTCCTTTACTAATTCCAAAGAAATTCAAGATGCCTAATATTCCGAAATACGATGGAACAACTGATCCACGAGATCACCTAACTGCATTCACAACTGGTGTAAAGGGCAACGATTTGACCAAGCAAGAAATTGAATCAGTATTGGTCAAAAAATTTGGAGAAATACTCACGAAGGGAGCATTGACATAGTATTCTCTTTTACCTAAAAATTCTATTGATTCTTTTGCTGAGCTTGCAGATTCATTTATCAAAGCACACTCGAGAGCTCAAAAATTTGAAAAACGAAAAGAGGACATTTTCAAAATAAAATAAGGAGATACGGAGCTGCTCAGGGAATTCGTAGACAGATTCCAGCGTGAAAGAATGATGTTTCCATGTGTACCTGATAACTGGGCGGCTATGGCCTTTGCCAGTAATCTAAATGAAAAAAGCTCGGAAGCCACGAGGAGACTCAAAGAAAGCTTACGAGAATTTCCAGCAACAACTTGGAATGATGTTTATAATAGATACAGCACAAAGTTGCAGATAGAAGAAGATACTACCATTCAGTCCTAGAAAGATGAAAAAGTGAATTCAAGATGAGCTGAAATTGAAAAAAAGTTCGGTAAAACCAGGTACAAACCTTATATAGGACCAGTAGGAAGGGATTCGCGTTCAAAACATGAAAACCCAAGGTATGATCCTAAATCAAGAGATAGAGAGTCATGTTCATCATCAAGGTTCAGAAAAGAACGAAACATGCGAGATACGCGAGACGATGACAGAAGCTCGAAAGCAAAAATCGACGGCTACAGTTTTAATGTTAGTACATCCGAGTTGGTGGCTATTTTAAGAAGCATAGGAGACAAGGTACGGTGGTCAAAAGAGATGAAATCAAACCCAAACAGGAGAAATCCCGATTTTTGGTGCGAGTTTCACAACGATCACGGTCACAAAACGGCGGATTGCAGATTGTTACAAGGTGAAGTAGAGCATGCATTAAAACAAGGGTACTTAACTGAATTGTTTAGTGAAAAGGGAAAGCAAGCATATATGAAGAATAGGCATGAACCGCCAAAACCTCCTTCAACAAAAAGACGGTTAATGTCATAAGTGGAGGGGAGGAGATCAATGACATAACATATACGACAACAAAGAAGGTGTCAAAAATTGCAGTCACCCACGGGAAGCGAGTTCGATAGATTTTGGAAGAAGATAGTATAACATTCGATGATGCAGATGCAGATGGCATGCTGACCCCGCATAATGATGCACTGGTAATATCTTTACTTGTACATGACAGTAATATAAAATGAGTTTTTATTGACCCAGGTAGTTTTGTGAATATCATTCTGTTAAGAGTGGTAAACGAGATGCAAGCCAATGATAAGTTGATACCTAAGGCACACACCTTGTCTAGTTTTGACAACTCGAGCATCATAACAAAAGGGAGATAATACTCACCACATTTGCAGAAGGAGTAGTCAAAGACACCAAATTTCAAGTAATAGAAATGGATATGGCTTACAATATGATTCTCGATAGACCATGGATTCACGAAATGGATGTTGTTCCATCTACTTTACATCAAGTTATCAAGTTCCCTTCACAATGGGGAATACGGCAAATCCGTGGTGACCAACAAGCTTCTTGAAGCATTAACTCAGTGGCAGATTCAAGCACAAAAGTGACGAAAAATAGCAATCACAGAATTCAATTGAGGATACTGCAACATGAGCCTCAACTGAAGACGGGCAAATAGATGTAGACTTGAGGCCTGATACTATTCAAGAACCAGAAGAAAATGAACGCATCAAAACAACAATTGAAGAACTGGAGGCTGTGATACTATTTGTACATTGTCCAGACAGAAAAGTCTACATTGGGACCAACCTCAGCCCAGAGATGAAATGTAAGTTGATTGAATTTTTAAAGCCTAATGCAGATTGTTTTGCTTGGTCCTATTCAGATATGACAGGTATATCACTGGAGGTAATGACCCACAAATTAAATGAAGATTCATCATACCCACCTGTCAAACAAAAGAAAAGAAAGCAAGGCTCTTTCAAATAGATAAATTTTCTCATTCATGTAGATAAATTTTCCAGATTTATCAGCCATGTCAAAATTGTTTTCTAGCTGCTTAGACTTAAAATGACTCAAATTGCACAGTCATATTCTTGGCATCAATTGTTACCTCAATAGCTGCCCACATGTGATTCAGCTTTTCTTCCTTAATATCACTCCACGGTGATACTCCCAACGGACATATATTACGGTCACGAACGATTCTTCCCAAGTGCCTCGAAAACAGTTTGCTATTTGTTCCAACTGTTCGATTATTGTAAAAGGTTACTTTCAGCTTTTGTCTGACTTCAAGTGATGCAACTTCTTTGCACTTGTTCCTCCCTCGAAATTTTTTTACCTTTCCATAATTATATGAAGAACCTACGACTGCATAATTTGGTAAAAGCTATAGCAATAAAATTAAGTTCTACAAATTAATAACATATGGATTCAAACTATCATGCCTGTTTCAGTTGCTTGGGAGTGTTGCATAAGTTGATCAGTAGATCGAGGTAATGAAATATTGGTTTGCATATACTCTTTCTCAAGAACCAAGGAGTTTTTATTCATTTTTTGCATTTCTTGGTTACAAGACATGCTAAAATTCGATCTTGTGCTTTTAGAAATCTCCAAAGATGAGCACAAAGATCTAGGAGTTTGCTCCTGTCCCTTCCCTATAGAACCTGGACCAAAAAACCACTTAGTTTGGCATTTAATTTCAGTTATATATGCAATTAAAAATAACACAGATTTGGAAAAACTTACTTGCTTCAACTTTTTGGGTGTATTGCTTAACTTGATCAGTAGATGGAGGCAATGGAATATCAGTTTGCATATACTCTTTCTCAAGAACAATGGATTTTTTATGCATCATTCTCGTTCCTTGACTAGAAGACATGGTAGAGCATTTAAGCCCTTGTCCTCGTCCCCTCCCAATAGCACCTGGCGAAACGAAATCATATTACTAATATTTCAACATTAAAATTCATTTGTACACATTAACAACAATAGATTTAAAATATCTTACTTATTTCAATTGTTTGGATGTATTGCTTAACAAGATCACTAGATTGAGGAAATAAATTCTTAGTTGGCATATTCTCTTTCTCAACCAAAGATCTAAGCCCTTGTCCTTGTCCCTTTCTTATAGCACCCGGCAGGACGAACGCATATCTGGTTATACTCTTCATAGTTGATTCCGCCTCATTTTCAGTCTTTGATGGTTATATTAAACCTGGAAAGAGCCAAAAGTAAAAAATAGTAAGACAACGTGTGACAATATAGTAATAAAAGAAATCATGCCATCAGTATATGTAACAATAAATATACTAATTCATAAATAGATACTTCACCTCATCAGTTCCTTTTCGTTTCTTTTGTGAAGGATTTCCTAAGTCTACAATATCATCATACATTTATTTTACAATCTCATAGGAATCACGAGGTTGAGTCTTCCTCATTACATGCCAACCTTTGTTAGAACATTGCAATATACAATAAGATGGCACTAATCTAGACAAAAGATTATCAATTAACTTGTAATTAAAGATGTTGTTTCCTAAAACATTCATACATGGTTTCTTATAGCCTGCTCCAAGATCGAAATAAGTATTTACAACAAAGAAAATCATAAACAATATACTTTACGACACAATTAACTTTAATAGGAATTGCAATTCTTACATCAAAGTAAATTATTTTTCCTGTGAACATAAACTCTAGCAAAATTGAACTTTGCTTCAGAAGAACAGAACAATAAGAACAATTAAAGAAAGTATTAATAACTTCTTGTCAACCTACTGAATTTTCTTATCTTATCAACATAGAGTATTTATCATCCAAAACAGTTGCGCACAACTAAAAGACTACTTCTGTCTAGATGCAATTATTTTTCAGGTGTGCTAAAATACATATGACAGTATACACGTTGTTCCATCACATACGACAGTATCTTTTTAGATGTAAATCAACATTGCAATATGACAGTATACATGCTAGTCCCTGTTTTGGCTCGATAATCTCTCACTGAATACATAAAACTAATATGCCACAAACTTGAATACATTTCAGAAATTGAATTATCCAATTAGGAACCCAACTCAAATACCAGAGTACAAAACCTTAGATAGACAGACGGTAGTGGGTACCCAATAATCTTTCCACTGATTATACAAAAGAAAAAATACTAGAGTACGAAACCTTACCAGTTTTTTGATGTTAGAGTAGCGGTAGTAGTAGTAGTAGTAGAAGAAGAAGAACAACAACAACTGGAATAACAATCAGCGATTAGAGAAGAAAAAGAGCAACTTGAAAGAGGAAGCATACCTTGGATTAATCTCAAAGGCAAGATAGATATTAGGGCAGAAATTCACAATTTGAGTTTTGAGAAAATGCAGATAAGCGATGTGGGCTCTAGAGCTAGGCGGAGTATTAGGACAAATCTGTGCGCGCTTGTTTTTGGAGAATATGGAGAGTTTCAGTTTTTAGACTTTTATTTCAATAAATTAGCTTTAGCGCCTGATTTTTAGAAAACAATAGTTTTCTAATATTTGGTATAATTTTTGGAGACACTTTCTCACCTCAAGGCCCCTCAATTATAATTTGGGACCAGTTACTAATTTTTTTAGGGACCAGATTTAATATCTTTGCTATAAAATAAAGCATTAGGGACTGCAATATAATCTCGTCCCAATAAATATATTTTTCGCGACGGGATTATTAACTCGTCCCTAAAAGTTGGTCTTAGATAAGGCTTTTTCTTGTAGTACAGGTGATTCAAGATGAGGTGCAAAAGCTTTTAAAAATCGGGTCCATCCGCTAGGTAAAGTATCCAGATTGGTTGGCTAATACTGTAGTGGTGCCCAAAAAGAATGGTAAGTGGCGATTTGAGTAGATTATACTGATCTAAATAAAGTTTGCCCTAAAGATTCTTTTCCATTACCGCACATAGATCAACTAATTGATGCTACTGCAGGACATGAATTATTAAGTTTTTTAGATGCCTATTCAGGATATAATCAGATTAAAATGGATCCCCTAGATGAAGAAAAAACTTCCTTTATCACAGACAAGGGGACTTACTGTTACAATATTATGCCGTCCGGCCAAAATGTTTCAAGAACATCTAGGAAAAATCATGGAAGTATATATAGATGATATGCTGGTCAAATCACAACAAGCTGGGGATCATATTCAACACCTGTCGGATACATTTCAGATTTTTCGCAAATTTAACATGAAGTTAAATCCTGAGAAATGTGCATTTGCCGTGTCATCAAGTAAGTTCTTGGGATTCCTTGTTTCCAACCATGACATTGAAGTAAATCCCGCACAGATTAAAGCTATTGAGGAAATTCCGGATATACTTACGCGAAAAAGAGGTACAGAGGTTGATAGGAAGAATAGCAGCTTTGGGAAGGTTTATTTCCAAGTCATCGAAAAAGTGCTTCAAATTCTTTTCAGCCCTAAAAAAGCAAAATCAATTTGAATGGTTTGAAGAATGTCAACAAACACTTAAAAATTTAAAAGCATACTTGTCAAATCCACCATTCCTAGCCAAACTAAAAGATGTGAAAAAATTACTCATCTACCTTGATGATTCAGAAATAGCAGTAAGTGTCGTAATAATTCGAGAGGATCAAGGTAAACAATCTCCAATTTATTATGTTAGAAAATTTTTATTAGATGCTGAGACTCGAATCCTCATTTAGAAAAACTTGTACTAGCATTAATTATGGCATTTAGGAAATTAAGGCCTTATTTTCAATGTCATCCTATCTCTGTAGTTACTGCCTACCCCTTACGTATATATTACATAAACAAGAGTTATCGGGTATATTAGCTAAGTGGGCTATAGAGCTAAGCGAATATGACATTACATATCAACCTAAAACTGCAATAAAGTCACAAGTTTTAGCAGATTTTGTGGCAGATTTTAGCCAAGGGATACAATAGAGGCAGAAAAAGAACTGCATTTATTTAACGGGTCTAATCCAGGTACTTGGACCTTATTTACTAATGGTTCATCAAATGTAAAAGGAGCAGGTCTAGACATTGTCTTGGTACTACCTGCGGGAGAAACCATACGACAAGCCATAAAATGTCATCTTATTACTAATAATTAAGCAGAATATGAAGCTGTGATTGCAGGTTTAGAATTGGCACGAGAGCTCGGAATAGAGTAGGTCATAATCAAAAGCGTCGCAGCTCATAGTTAACCAAATGTAGGGGACTTATATAGCTAGAGATGTAAGGATGCAACAATACCTGCAAAAGGCACGAGACTTAGTCAGATAATTCCAGACTTGGAAAGTCACACAGATACCAAGGGAAGAGAATGTCGAGGCAGACGCATTGGCTAATCTTGCATCCGCTGCAGAAGTAACAAATGAAGAAAACGCTTCCGTGATACATTTGTTTCATTCAGTGCTTGATCAAGATAAAAATGAGGTAAATTACAATAATCTAACTTGGGATTGGAGGAATGAGATTGTCAACTTTTTGCAGTATGGAATACTACCTGAAGATAAGAAAAAGGCTCAGGTACTTCGCTAAAAGGCTGTTCGTTACTGTTTAGATCAGGGCAATTTATATCGAAAAATGTTTGATGGCCCTCTAGCAAGATGTCTCGGGCCTTCTCAAACGGAATATGTGATGAAAGAAATACACGAGGGACATTGTGGAAATCACGCTGGAGAAAGATTTTTGGTAAAAACTATAATTAGAGCTGGCTATTACTGGACAAAAATGAAAGAATAGGCGGAAAATTTTGTGGCTAAATGTGACAAGTGCCAAAGATATGGTAACAACATGCATCGACCAACTGAATTATTACATCCGGTTGTTGCACCATGGCCTTTTATGAAGTGGGGGATGAATATCATAGGTCCACTACCACAAGCCAAGGGAAAGGTAAGATTTCTGTTAGTACTCACTGACTATTTTACTAAGTGGGTAGAAGCAGGAGCCTTCAAATAGGTACGAGAAAAAGAGGTCCGAGACTTCATCTGGCGCAACATCATATGCCGGTTTGGGGTTCCAAAAGAGATCGTGTGTGATAACAGCCCGCAATTCATAGGTGCACAAATCACAAAATTCTTTCAAAGTTGGCAAATTAAAAGGATTACCTCGACACCTTATCATCCAGTGGACAATGGACAAGCTGAATCAACAAATAAATTTATTATCAATAACTTGAAGAAAAAGACTAGAAGAATCAAAAGGCAAGTGACCAGAGGTACTACCTGGAGTCTTGTGGGCTTACCGGACAACAGCAAAAACAAGTACGAGAGAGACACCATTCTCACTTGTATACGGTGTTGAAGCCTTAATTCCAGTTGAAATAGGGGAGCCAAGTACGAGATATACTCATGCTACTAAAGAGTCAAATGAAGAAGAGATTCGGGTAAATTTGGATTTGCTTGAAGAAAGGAGGGAAACTGCCCTAATAAGAATGGCAGCGCAAAAATGAGTTATTGAGCGATATTACAATCGGAAAGCTCGTCTCAGATACTTCAAGATTGAGGACTACGTACTCAATAAAGTTTTCCAATCCACAAGAGCAGTCAATGCGGGAAAGTTAAGTCCAAATTGGGAAAGGCCTTACAAGATTCGTGGTATCGCATGAAAAGGTGTATATGAGCTTGAAATCATGGATGACAAGATTCTACCTTCAAGTTGGAATGTTGTTCATCTGAAGAAGTACTATTTCTAAGGGAAAGAAATACCAACAATCAGGTATCCCCACTTACGATTTTTATTTTTGAATTATTAAAGTTATACTAACAATTTTAAATGATAGGCAAAAAGCTAGCTCACACCAAATGATGAATTTAGACCTGAAAGACACGCGGAAAAAACATAATTCCCGGTATTGGATTACAACTATTCTGATGGAAAGGTAATGGGTTAAGTGATCGCGGCCTACTCCACACTACTATTGAGTAGCGAGAGAGGGTCGGAGCAACTTTTACTCGATTTAGGGTCGGGATCGATTTTCACAGAGAGCTAGAATTTGGAATCAAGTATCTATCTAGTGTAGAGTTGCGTATGTGTTCCAAATTACACTTCTACTCATTTTTGTGGTTTTATTTTTACTTCTACTATTATCAAAATACAAATGGTAAATGCAACTAGATTAAGCTAAGAGTTAAACTAAAAAGGGTTGTTCAAATGGTTTAAAAGGCACTAGGGTAATGACTTTCACCTAGGTGGTTAATTAACGGGTAATTGAATCTAAAACACGATTGACATAATTGGGGAGTATGATATAACCGTTGCACGGTATTACCCACTCTACACCTCTTGGTGGTTCGAGTGATTTTGCCCGAATTGACTTTCTCAAGACCAATTGAGTATGCAAATTAGCACGAGCAACTAGGGTTCAAGTCGGGTATTACTCTTTCGAGGTTTAACTCTTTAATTGGGGCTATCAATCTCTTGAGTACGCCCCAATTCCTTGTTGGACCAATTTCGAAGACTTAGGCTCTCTTTCTCAAGAAGAGCCCTAGTAAACTAAATACAAACTAGTGTTTGCAACCACTAATTCAGCAATTAACAATGATTGGCCCAAATATCAAATACTCATAGTCAATCTAGCCCTAAAATACAATACCCATCAATTACCCATACTAGGGTTGAGCCACAACCCTAGCTTATGGGTCTAGCTACTCATAATTAAAGAAGAAAAGCAAGAAATAGATGAAGAACAACTCATATTAATTAATTAATCACTAAGGTAAATAACAAGATTCAATGATGAAAAGTAAATAAAATTGCCCAAAATGGCGAAAAGAGTCGAACCCACGAGCGCAGCTACGTTACAAAACTATTTGTTGCCCTAAAAATGGAAAAAGAAACTATTTATACTAAGCTGAAAAATATGGACAAAAATACCCCTACGGGGTTAGTGCGGACCGCACAAAATAGAGTGCGGCCGCACTAGGTCTCTAACATTGAAAATACAGATCTCTGAACTCAGGCAATGCGGACCGCACAGAATGGATTGCGGTCGCGGAGGCTTCTAGTGCGGTCCGCACAGAATGGACTGCGGACCGCATTGGCTTGGAACTTCACATCTGGCATCTCTCTGATCCTTGGGTCTGCGGACCGCACTAAATCGAGTGCGGCCGCATTAACTCCAGTGCGGACCGCACAAAACCTAGTGCGGCAGCATTGCCTATTTTCCTGGAAATCAGCCTCTCTGAATCTCCTAGTGCGGACCACACAGAATGGTGTGCTGTCGCACTGGGCCTGTTTTGCCTGAGCTTGTCTTGTCTTTGGCACATGCGCACGTTTCACTCCTTTTGAGCTTATCTTTGACATCTTGTCACTTTATTGATCAAACCTGCAATTAAGCACAACTTGTGATCCTTTTGGGACTATTTTGTACAAATTCCCAATCAAAACATAAGCAAAAAGGAGTATAAAAGGTATCAAAATCCCTAGTTATCA